TGTAGCAGATTTTGTAATGTCAGTTGATTCAGGTTTAGGAAGAAATGGATCGACTGTAGCAGAATTTGTAATATCAGTTGATGGTTGAAACCAATCGTTATTTGCTGTTGTAGAATCTATATCAGGTTGAGAAGCAAATGGATCGACTGTTTGAAATGGATCAACGTCGACAGTAGGTGGAAGAGGAGGAGGGGAAGCAGCTGTTGTTGGATCAACAGGTAATGAAGGATATAAATGAGATGGTTGATTATTTATTTCATCGGATGGTTGTGTTGCATTGAATTGATCAAAATTAGCTGAAAATAATTAAATATAAAAATTTTATTTAGTTTATTTAAATAAATACTTACCAAATTCAGCTGGTGGACTAGTTGGAGTCGTCACTTTGCTAACAAATAAATATAATTATGTTATTTATTAGAAAATAGATTTTTTTTTCGTAATACCTTGGTGGTTTTTTATCCTTAGCTTCTTGTTCAAGTTGATTGAATTGAAGACGAAGTTCCTAAAAATAACAGAGATATTTTGTTTATTTATTTTAATAAAATTAAAACAAACCTCCATTTGAGTTTGATATTCTTTCGATTGATCAGTCATAGTTATAATCTGTTCATCGACTTGTATATTTTCTTGATTCATATTTTCAATCTGAGTTTGTAAATATTGAATTTGATCCGCTTCTCGATTACCCATACCTGTGAAAAGTAAAATATTTGTTTACTATCTCAGTTAAAAAGTATACATATTATTCATACAAAGCATGAGATTTTACAGTTTTATACTGAAAATAACTCTTAGTAGATGACCCAATAGACTATTTTAAAAACTTTAGACTTATAAAATAAACGATTTTCTATAAAATGAGGTAGTTCCACTTCTATTATAAACTTCAGTCTCATTTGCAGTTTTCAATCAGAATATATTAGAAGCGGAAACATAAGCTATACAAGCCTTTAGGCATTTCTTGTCAATTCTCTAAAGAAAAGAGAGAAAAACTCAATTTTCATATTCGATAGATGTTGATTCACATTAGATAGAAACATCCGGTATTCGTTATACAAAAAGAAACATCAATTCCAATAAAAGAGGATTTCCAGTAAATTAACGAAACAATAAAAAAAATATATTTTCTTTCTTTATGCTCTTACTAAACTCTTTGGATTGAATCAATTGATTTACTGATGAATCAAGTGATTCACGTTCAGCTAGTATACTATTTAATTGTGTTGTTAAATCTTTTTTTTGTTGTTCAATATTTTCATAAAGATTTCTTTCTGTTGATATATTCCGTTGTATTTCAGCTATTGATTCATCAATTGTATGAATAATTATTTCTGTTTGATTGATTTTAGTTTGACATGTTTGTATTGTATCATCCATACTTTCTAATTCAAGTCCATGACCTGTTTCACGTGATTTTAAATCATTGATTTGCTCAAGTAAACGAGATTTTTGTGCTGATAATTCTTGCATACGTTGACGTTCCCATTCAAGACGACTTTTACGTTCCATTTCTTTTCGTGCTGCCTAAAATAGAAAAACAGAAAAAAAATGTCTGGACACATAGAAAGTGATATTTAGACACAAATGATTGTATATCGTTATTCATGTGTCCATATAAAACTTCGAATAAACCATGCATAACGCATGATAATGAAGTTTTGAATGGATTATTTTGCATGGATATGACTCAAACTCGCCTTATTGATTATTAAGACGTGATCTCCTGATCCATGCGAATATATATTTTTTTCTAGTTTTATATTTACCTCACGTTGTTCCATTAATTTTTTTCGTTCTTCTTCTTTTTGTTGTTCAATTTGTCGTTGTTTTTCTAATTGTCGTTCAATTTCCATTTGTTTTTTACGTTCTTGTTCTTCTTTATGTTTTTGTAATTCAAGTTCGCGTTTACGCTCTAAATGAGATTCGAACAGTTAACCTTATGATATTCATGAAATAAAAATGACTATAACGATTCAGCTATATGAATTCGTTAGTCAAACTGAAGAGAAAAAGCCATATATTTATATCTATATATAAATACCTCGTTCTTCACGTTCTTTTTGTTCGCGTTCTTCTATTTCGCGTAATGCTTGTCGACGTCGTTCTAATTCTCGATTTCCATCCTAATTAGAAAATATATGCACAATAAAAATTTGTAACAAAAATAAATACAAAACTAACTTCATAATTTTTTATACGTTTTTCTTCATATGTTACTGCAGCAAGTTTTCGTTCAGCTTCTGTAGGTTCAGCTGCAGGAGTAGCTGAACTATTCTCAATTGGTTTTGCCAAGTTAAATGTTTCTTTAAGTTGTTGATTAAGAACAGCATATGTTTGATTACCATTTGATTTTGCTGATGATGATGAATCTATTCGTTCACGTTGCATTTGATTTGTAGGTAACCATTCGTCAGGTAAACGAGATGGTAATGTTTGACCAGTACGTACAATATCACAACAATGCATTGCAACTACAAATTCATCTGGTGTTAAACGACCATCTTTATCATGATCGGCTAAATTCCTATTTAATAGATGAAAGTAAATATTATTTAGTTTTTTTTATAGAAATAAACTATAGATCCCATAGATTTAGTTGCTTTTACTACAGTTTATAAATAGCATTCTATACTAGTACCGTAGGGATTAACAAATAGATATGAATCATCGAGCGAATACGTTGCATGTAATAAATGTAGAAAAATAAAGAATAACTGATACCAATCTAATTCTTTAGATCTGTTAAAGAAATCTGATATATATCAACTCCATTTAAAATTATTATTTCTAAATTAATAACTTTCAGTTTGCTAATTATATAATTTGTCATTCTGCAGATGTTAGCATCTCATGCTAAAATATTTGTAATTTCAACCACATAAAAAAAAGTCAGAAATGTCTGAACAGAATGTCAACTTATTAAATCATTCATGCATATTTAATTTTTTTTCTATACAAACTAAATATTTACACTTGAGTAAGTTTTCTTATATTGTAAATATAAACTGTTATTATAGGAAGGAAAAATAAATCTTTGGAAATATATATTATATGTACCATATTTGATGAAGAAGAACATTTGATAGACCAGTTTGTTGAAGAATAGTTTTTGCTTGTAATCCAGTCATAAATCCATTGGTTTTTGTTACATCAACTATTGAATGAAATTGTTGAATATATTTCGATCGAATTGTTGGTGTTAATGGTACAATTGGAATATTATTTGGATCTGCTGCTTTTACAACATGACTAAAAAAAACGTAAATAAGCAAAAATAATATTAAATTTAGTTTTGTTTATTTACCCTGGAAGTTGATCTGGTATTACAGGTTGATTAGCTGCTAAAAAATAGATTTTATTTATTATTCTTGTTAGTAAATAAATATCACACATGATTAAGAAGTTCTAATGAAGCATTATTTTTATTAATGAGTGACAGTATATTTTTATTTTAATCTTACCACTTGAACAAATGTATGTTTCTCTTATATGAATGATCTTACTGTAATGATTTGATTTTATATATCTGACAGTACAAAATAAATATAAAATTACTTACGATTGAATGATGCCGGTGGTACTCCATTTGGTACTGCACCTAAATCAGAAAGAAGACTCGATGGAAGAGTTGGCGGTAATGGTGCTGTCTTTTGAACCTAATTGACAGAAATTTTATAATAAATTTCGAAAGAAATTCAAGAAAAATATTTACTTGAGATGATATTAAACAACAAGCAATAGCAAATTCTCGTTTATCTAAACGGCCATCAGTTGTTACATCAGCCAAATCCCTAAATAACAAAAATTTAATCATTAAAATAGTAATAAAGAAAAAATTTAGATTCTACCAAATTTTTCGAAGAATATCTCCAGGTAAATTTGATTTAACAAAAAATTCTCTGGCTTGTTCACCTTAAAGCAAAATAAATAATTAATTAAAAACACTATCATTATAATATTCGTACCCGTAAGATAACCTTGTACTGGTCCACATTGTTGAAAGTACGCTTCGTACCTTACTCGTTCATCAGGACTAATTCTCCAGTTACCTTAAAAATATGATTTTTAATATAACCGTTTATTTTATTATTATTTTCTTACTAGCCATAAAGATATTCTTCTGTTATCTCATTCTCGATTTAAATTTCTATAAAAATTAATAGAAAATTTTTATGTCAAAATCTAGACACAAAAAAACAAATATTTAAAGTGATATAATTCAGTAATTGATTTTCTCGGAAAGAGAAGAATCAATAACAATCGTTCATCATTTAGGAAAAAACATAGAATGAATAAATGGATCAACCATTAATTCATCGGAGGAAACCATTCTTTGGAAACAAATATGGCATTATACTCGCAGATGTCACTGAATAACAATAGATTTATTTTGCAAGTTCAGTTCTATTACGCGGGTTATTCTTATTTTAATCATTTTTTTTTAAATATATAATATGTAATTATTCGATCATGGGTTGTGCAACCCATAAATTACCGAAACAATTATTTAATAAAGCTGATTTAATTGAATTACAAAAATATTCTGATGAATTACATGAAAAACGTATTAAAATTCTTAAATGGATGGAAGATGATTTAGAATTAAAATCACCTATGAATGATTATAAGAAAATAAATTGGAAAAATATTAAAGAAAATGTACAATTAACATATTGGCAAGAAGCATGGGAACGAGAACAAGAATTAGTTAAACATCCTTCGATGGTTGATTCATGTGAATCAAAAATATCTTGTATTACAATGGTTGATGAAAATCTTCGAGTTTTATGTGATGAAGAAATAGAAACATTTTGGAAAGATTTTGAACAAACACATTCATCTAACTAAAATTATTTTTGAAGTTTTTCAGTAATAAATCAGCATATAAAAATGAGCATTTTTTATTGATTAATAGCTAAAGTTTACAATAAGGAGATTAGAAAAAAGAAACTTTCATTTTTATTAGAACTTTTCTTTCTATATTTAAATCGCTTAAATTAATGTTAAATAACTTTAGAATATAAAATGTGTCTGAATAAATTAGTAAATCTCTTTTCATATTGTAAACCTTGAAATAAGCTTAAATAATAGGAAAAATAAAATAAGTATAGAACAAACTATAAGCGAATAAAAAGTCAACCTTTTAAAACATTTTATTAGTAAATAATTAATTTTCCTAAATAGTAAGTTGCATTGATGACTGCTGTATCAATCCAAGTTCCATAAGACCGACATTCTGTTACTGCGGGAATAGGATTCGGTACATAATTGGTATATGTCACTTCACCATAATGAATGTCATCCCAATAGTTATTTGATGCTATTATATCATAAGCATCTTGGTTATTAATATAAGGTAACATTAAGACCAAGTGTATCAGTTTGTGAGATGGATCTTGACTGACCAGTTGTGCTATATGTAATACGTGAGTTTTGACTAGTAGAATAAGCTATATCAGCTGTCAATGGAGATTTATACAATCTACTTTCTATCAATTCTATATCACCCATTATCAATGCACCATAATTATAATCTATATTGCTATTATCATTTAGAACGATTGTTGAAATATTAAACATAGTTGTATTTTGAAAGGTCAGGTTGTTTTGGGACTAACCGTTAGTATTATAAAATGGTATATCATGGATGACAAATTGAGACACAGTGAATATAATTCCTAATACTAACCAAGCTGTTACATTGATTACAGTCGAATTACTTAGTTGAAATTGACCTCACGAGTTATTACAGATAACAGTTAAGTTTCGTACGATTGAATCTATTATTTAAACACCGTCATATTCAGTACGAGGATAAAATGTATCATAGAAAACAGTACCATTAAGTATATGCGACGGAATAGTCGTTTGTACCATATAGTTTGATAATGATTTCAAAATCATCCTGACTAAAATTAACAATATAGTACCAGCTTGAATAGTAAGTGAAACATTTCGTAGAACTCAAACATATTTTGTAAGATAATATGGATTTACTGAGCTGTTACTACTCCAAATAAAGAATATCACCAACATCATCAGTTGCTGCATGATTTAGTGCAGTAAATGTATTGAATTGTGATTGTGAAAACATCGTGTTTACGTATTTATACTGAAGTTGTGCTCAATATCTCATAGATAAATATGAATACATTATTATTCTATAACATTTCATTATCTGTACCATACTCTTTTGAAAATATACTTATATATTTGAATGCAGGATATTCAATCTTTCCTATGGACAAAATAACTTTATTTCAAAATTAAACACAGATATAAATGACTATAAAAACAAAATGTTAAACAAGAAATTTCAAATACTTTCTATGAGTAGAACTTAAATTACAAAATGTTTCTTCAATTTGTACAAGTACATATTTTTTATCACGTACACAATCACGTATATTAAATCGACATATTTGTTTTAATGTTAAACATTCTTGATTATTTTTCTTATTAATTTCATTTAATAAATTCTTTATATGAAACATTATTCGTTTAACTAAACGATATTCATTACTATGATGAAAAATTTCTTCAATATAATGAATACATTCATTTAAACGAATTAAATCACTTTCAGATGGTTGAAAACAACAATGAGTTATTAAATAAATAAATAATTGCATTTGTTTATTTATTAAATCATATAAACTTTGTAATAAACGTATATGAAATTTAATTTGTAAATCAACTAATAATTTATTATGTAATTGTATTAAATACAAATAAATTGATTCAAGAATAAACGTAAATGGAGAAATATATGATAATTGATAATTATCATTAAAAATATCTAATGGATTAAAATTAGCATATTCAACAAGTAAACGAAGACATTCAATCGAACCACATGGACGTAATGATTGATTTTTAAACCATTTTATATTGTATTTATCGATACTAACTTGCCGATGTTCAGCTAACAAACAAAGTTGAAATATTTGTTGATTTTGTTGTAAAGTTAAATATTTCAATGTAAATGATTTAAATTGAAATAAAATTTTTAATAGATCAGAACGATCATTTCGAATAATACATGCTAATGGTATTTCATTTTCATATGCTTCTAATTCACGTTGAATTAAATGACGTGGTTCATCATGTAATAAATAATTCAATGATTGATTTGAATTACTATTTCCATCGAGTGGTGCATTAGGAAAATATTTTAAAATTAATTTAAGAATATTTTCATCACCTAAACAAAATTCATACTGATTAAATAAAAGAATTTATCGAAATATCAAACCTCTTTCACATGCTACTGGTACAAGTATTTTTCCACCTTCAGTTGATATATTAATGATATCAATATATTTCGTAAATACATTATCAATAAATATATCAGTTGATCGTTCAATAATTATTTGATAAATATTAAAATGATTATAACCAGATGGTATCGGACAATGAACTAATATTGGATCACCAGTTAATAATTTATCAAATGTATTCGAATCAGATTTCATAATAGCTTCTAGAAGATATTTTCTTTTTTCAAATTGTTGAGTTAATTGAACAATTTTAAGTGCTGCATCGATATATGACCATTGTTTTTTTAAACGATTTTTCTTTCGATTATATTCAGCAGACATGCCTTATCTAAAAATCAAATAAGAACGATAAATGAAAAGTAAAAATATGATTTTTTCTTTGTTATTCTTATTTAAGTAATCCATTCTATTAAATTATTTGTTAGACTTCTAATCCATGTAGATAATTTATCATGATCTATAATTACTAATACATATTCTCCTCAATGACTTCTCCATCTGGTTACTTCATTCTATTGTATTAGTATGCCAAGGCTCTTCAAATAATCTACTAATACTTATTCCATTAGTCGTATTCTATATTTTCTAATAATACTCAAATCTATCATAGAAGAGCTCTATTCTTTATTTATGTTATTGGAACACAGTCATGTTTTCGAATCGTTATATATCATCTGAATGTATGTAAAATACTCTTTAGTTCAAATTGATTGCCTTGTGTTTCGTCTGAATTCAAAACCAAAACATTTTATCTTGATTTAGTAAATTATTAAGAAAAAAAATTCTTCAAAAAAACAAAAAACGTCAAATAAAAGCACGAAGACTACAAAAAAAATTGACTAAAATAAACATACAAAGAGAAAAAAAAAGAGATGACTGAGATTAATTAAAAATTTGACTAAAATGAAATATACAATTATACATCGCCTTCGACTAGAGGTGTAAGAGAAGATGGTTTTCCTGCAATTAATAAACCATAACCATTATTTGTTTTTTCTGTTGGTGATGTTGCTGGTGCAAAACTTGAAGTTCGGCGTCGAATCAAATCATAATCTCCTGATAAATCGCCTGGATCTGACATTTGTCGTTGTAATACTGGTTCAACTGGATCACCACCTAATTCCTGTCTTCGTTTACGTTTTAATTTTTGTAAATCTTTCGTATAAAAAGCATGCCATAATTGATTAATAACCTACAAAAAGAAAACGATAGTTCTTTTTTACTTCAAACAAAAAAAATAATCAATTGATTTACTTCAGTACAAACGAAATCACTTGTATTTGATGATAATAATCGAAGCATAAATATTCCATCTGGTTCAAGATAACCAAATATAAATTCTCTGTACCATGATTTAACAAATTCAGCTGGTTGAGAATTAAAATCAGTATCACGTTTCATTAATTGTAAACGTCGTTTTATATAATTATATTGTTTATCGGGAAAGAAACGTGTTACCCAAACAATAACATCAAATATTGACTAGAAAAATAATACATTTAAAAGAAATTTCTAATAGAATATTCAATCGGAATACATACGACTATAAAAACCATCATATACCAAAACCAAATGAATGTAAATATCTAAATGATTCATATTAATTATATAGAGAATAATCTTATTGATATTTACTTGTTGAGAGAATAAATTCAATGGAAGAACACATTGTACGGTATATCGATGTGAATCTCTTGGATGAAGAGCTTCCCTGATTTGAAAATCACATAATGTTACCTTCGGAAAATATATCGATTGTGTATCCCAACCTATTCATAACATAGAAAAATTCTGAATTGTAGAAAAATTATTTATACCTCGTCCTTGTAAAATTCGTTGAAGTACTTGTATACCAAATAAATGAAATTCTTGTCCCAAAAATAAATTTAAGAGAAATATTTGACATACAGCATTTGTTATAAATAATGCTTTCGTTGTAAAATATACGATAATTAAATAATTACCCAAATATTTACCCATAAATATACATATTGTCATTAATATACGTCTTACAGTCATATTTTTACCACGTTCATCAGCTTGTCGTCGAGGATCATCAACATATTTATCGATAGCTTCAACAATATATTCCATTAATTCATTTTTATGCTTATCATCTTTTGTTGCTGTATCAACAGATTTATAATTTATAGCTGCATCGACTATATCACGAACATCAATACCACTACGACGTGATAATGAACGCCAAACAATATGTGGAAAATAAAAACAAAAAGCTTGCAGAAGTAATATAAATGGTATCCATTGATAGTAACGCAGTTCATTTTGACGTCGGTCACGTTCAAGTTTTGGAACTTTATGATCAAGAGGAATATAATATGTATTTGATACCCAACATATATCATTAACATATTCCTAAAATGAAACGAAGTAAAAATTAGAATTGCATGTCAATCGTACTACAGAACATTTTTAGAGAAAAAAAACTACCTCATAGTTTTTTGTAAATTGTGCAGGAACCCAACCTATTATAAGTAAAATAATTATCGTAGAAAAAATTTATTTCTCTTTCTCCTACTTACATTGTATATGTTTTGTACCAAATTGTTTATTTGTAACGATAATAGCAAAAAGAACAAGCATTAAAACTGTATATTTATATGAAAGTCGATCTGCAAAACTATCATCACAACGTGATGCACCGAAAACAAGCGTCGGTAAACGCGTTACCATACCAACAATATCCATTTTATATTATTTCTTTGCTTTTTTTTTATTTTCTGATCTGAAAAACAAAACATATCTTGTTGAAAAATTCAACAATAAGAAAAAGCAAAAGCTATAACAGGAAATAGAAAAACAAAGAATTATTCCTCATCAATGGATATTGATGAATTTTTCTCATTCATATTTTTTGTCTCAACGTCTAAATTATTGGAAAATAGATTAATTTTTTAGATTTTATAATTGAATTAAATGAAACCTTTTTTATTGCCTTGTTTTGTGGAATATTTTTTTAATTTAGCAACAAAAAAGCCATCCAAATTATGTAAATGTGGATAGTATCGACGACAGTATTTCATTAATGGATGAAATGCTGTACCTTTAAAACTAATCAAAGACAATGAAGTATTGCATATAAATTGAAAAAAAATTTTTTCCTGGACATACTTAGTAAAACCTTCAACACCAAATTCTAAACCTGTTTCAACAAGTTTAACTGATCGATTATTTAATGCATATTGTATCACAGCTTCATTTTCTTCGACCTAATCAATCAATTACAATCTTCTATTCAATCGTATCTAGATCATCTTACTAAAATTGAACAAGTTGAATAGACAATATAACCACCCGTTGTTGAATTTTCATTGATTGAATCGATAGCATTCAATAAAATTTGTCGTTGAGCAGTAAAACATCGTTGAATATCTTTATCATCCTAATTTAATAATTATTATATATTCTTATGAATTCAATTAGATGTTATTACTTTTGAACTTTTTACTGCTGGATCTTTTGCTATAACACCTGTACCACTACATGGTGCATCGACAAGACATCGATCAAAACCACCCATATGCTAATAATAGATTAAAAACTAGAAAAAGCAATAATTTCAGATTGTACAAATTATCTACCTCGGAGAACTGTCGTCCATCAAGATTTGTCACAATCGTATTGGTTAAACCTAATCGATGTGTATTAGCAATAATTGCTTTTGCACGATCTTTATTAGCATCATTTGCTACTAATATACCACTATTTCGCATTATAGCACCTAAAATAAGCAATTTTTAAAAATGAAATCTTTTTTTTTGATAAATTTTATATTTACCAATATAACTCGATTTTCCACCAGGTGCAGCACACATCTAAAATTCGTTCATTAGGTTGTGGTGCTAATGCCATAACAGGCAAAAAACTTGAAGCACCTTGTAACATATAATGTCCACTAAGATATTCTGGTGTTGCACCAATAGGTACTTGACTATTATAAATGACAAGACCAACTTTAGTCCATTTATCAAGTGGATCAACATTAACACCACGATTAATAAGTGCTTGAGCAAGATCACGACGACGTGTTTTCAATGTATTTGTTCGAATTGTTACTGGTCGTTGTACTTCATTTGCTTCAAGAAAATCAATAATCTAAAAATGAATATGTATACACATTAATATTTGTTGACTTTTGGTAAACATGAGGCTTTTTTACCTCAGCTAATGGAAATAAATCGAGGAGTTTGTTCATCAAAAAATCATTGTATGAGTAATAATTACATAAATCTTGTTGAAGTAAATCAAGATATTCTTTTCTTGATCGATTTGGTTCTCGTTTATTTTTAAAATCATTTAAAACATTAATTACTTCTCGAATACGATGCATTAATAATTGTAAATCAGCTTGTGGTGCTAAAAAGAAAAGTTTATTTCTTAGTCTTATTTTGACTAATTCTATTCATTTAATTAACCTTCTTTTGTTATTTCTTGTCCACTAGGAAATTGAACTTTTTCATGTTGTTGAATATTTGTTAATAGTTCTTGTTCAGAACGTTCTTTTGTCTGACGTTGTTTTTCACGGATTTTTTTAGATTGTTTTTCAATATCGAGCTAGTTTGATCCAAAGAAAAAAAATATATAATCCAATCAAAAATAACATTTATTTCACATACTTTAGGTTCATTTTCATCATCATCGTCTTCTTCTTCGTCACTTGAACTTTTTACTTCATCAAATTGATCATCATATGGTGTATCATCTTCCATTGATTCATCTTTTTCATCGTTATCAAACAATTTCTAAAAGTCAAAAAACTATTAGAATCCGTTATTACTTTATTTTTCAGTACTTTAGTTGTTTTTGGTTTAAGCCATTGTTGATTTTCATCTGTATATCCATTAAGTTGTTGTTGTTCTTCATCATCATCATCATCAATAGATTCACCATCTGACTGACGTTTTTGTACTATTTTTTTAACTTGATTTAAAGAAAAACTATATATTTCGAGAAAAGAAATCAATTACATTAAGACATACCAGTATTTTTCTTAACGGTTTGTTTCAATTTTTCTTTTTCAAGACGTTTACGAGCACTATAAAATTTAGATATATAATTATAAAGTAAAGAAAAAAAGAATTACAAACCGTTTTTTACTACGACTAGTTAATTTTTTCCTTTCGGAATTGTCTGAAATATAAATAAAGAAAAAAAACATAAATCATCTGCTAATAAAATATATAAATTGATTTCTTATAGAAAAAGATCAAATGATGCATCACGCTTCATATTCATCTGTCAGTAACCGCTTTTTCCTTGAAAATGATTAGTTATTTCTCTGTCTTACTATCTGTTTTACTTAAAAAATTAAATCTTGAATAAAATACAAGAAAAAAAGAATTTCTTACCAGTTTGTAATAATTCTTTTGGAAATACTGGTTCTCCTTGTTTTTTCGATTTTCTTCCTGGACCACGAATTGGTTTCGCATTCTTGTCATCAGTTTTCTTTCTTCGTCCCATGCTCGATTGAACCAAAAGAATTTTTTATAAAGATTTGGGTAATTAACTTATCGTAAATAAATAACAAACCAGACTAACTAACCACTATATCAAATCCGGTCGATTTGTCCTTAGGAAATAACCAATAAAAAAACGCCTATGTCGCTAGATATCGATCAAAAGAATTTTTTTTGCGCATCCTTTCTTTATTCTTAAAGAATAACGAATAAGGACAATTTATGCTTTTCCTTTATAGATAATAATCGATGAATAGTGAAGCAATTCCTTCCTCTCTTCCTTCCTCATCCTCAGTGTCTACAGAAGAAACTCATCCACTATCATTACCAATATTTTTAACATCTTCATCATCCTCATTGAAACCATTGCGAGAACGTAATCGGACCAATCTTAAACGACGTATAAATCTATCACGTAGTCAAGTTTTAAGTAATGATTTTGAAAATGAAGATAATCTTTTAACAACTAAAACTATTGAAAAAATAACAACTAATTCTCAACCACCACCACCATTACCATCAACGCGTTTGTTCTTTTTGTTTATCATTATCAATTAAATAAAATCTTTTGTTTTAAATTTTTAGCAACTATTCATTCATATAACGAACTTTATTCTAAAACAGTTAGTCCAAATACTCCATCACCTATCCATACAACAGTTACATGTAGTCAAGTATGGGAAAGATTAGCTTCAAATGAAGAACATCAAATTTCTACGTCACCAAAATCAGTGATACCACCTACAACATCAATCTCTGTTTTACCAACACATATATCTTTCACATATGATCCAAGTGATGATGAAGATAATGATAATGAGGAAGGAAATTTATCAACGAATAATTTTCAACATTTACCTGTTAGTAGTCAATCAAAATTTGTTCAATTTCAATTTTTAACATTTGCTAGACAACAACATTTAGATCTGAATGATGATGAGAATAAAAATAATAATGAAGAAACGGATACTGACGATGAAGATGATGATGATAATGATGACGAAGAAATAATGCTTGGTGATATTATTCAAGATTATGAGCATGATGAGCAAGAGGTGAGACATATCATTCTGATTTATTAAAAAATTTAATTAAAATAATTAATTTTGAATATTTTAGAATCAAACATCAAAAAAACGTAAACGATCAGTCTCAGCAACGGATTCACTCGATGCTCGTTCATCTACTCATGATGATAATAATGCTGCTTCATCTTCAACAACAAAACCACCATGTACAAAAAAGCCTAAATTTAAAGATCCTAATGCCAATTTTCAACGTTTAAATATGCGAAAAAAACAATTTTCACATGCAAAAAAACATCAATTTGCTAAAGGTAAACGTAATGCTTTCTATCGTCGAATGCGTAATGCCGGTGGTAGTAAATAGACTTTCTTATTTGTTAATTTCTTGTTCTCAAAAATAAAAAAGTGTTTTTTCTGTATTACGACAAAATTAAAAAAACAAAATATATGTATTATGTACAATTCTATCTCATTATTTTACTGTTGTTGCTAATGTAGTCGTATTAATGTTGTAAAAAATTTCTGTTGATTCATCAGTAATACCATAAATTTTCGGCATCCAAGTTAATGACGCAAGAAATATAACAAGAAAACCTATAATATTCATTACAACACCAGTTTTAACCTAAAAGTTAGGAAAAACATGTAGGAGTTTTTTAATCGAATATTAAAATTACCATATCAATCACTCGAATATGACCACTAGCAAAAACAATTGCATTTGGTGGTGTAGCTTTAAAAAAAATAATTACAATTAATTCTTAGACAAGTATTGATTTTTACTACTTACCAACAGGTAACATAAAAGCAAGAGATACAGCTAATGTACATGGAAGTATAAGATACGCGGGATGGATTCCAGACGAGCGTGCCTATGATGAAAATACGGATAATCATTTTTGTTTAAAAATGAAATATTTAAACTTACGACTGCATCAAGTACTGGCAAGAAAATACTTGCTGTACTTACATTTGATGTTACTTCAGTGAAAAGAGCACTGATAACAATAATCAAAAATACAACAGCAGCTAGTGGTACACCATTTAGAAATTTAAGTGCTTGTGCAACACTGTCCGATAAACCTGATTTCTTATTTATCAAAAACAAAACAAACATTTAGTTACTTGTTTACTATTAATAAAATAAACAAACTATGAAAGCTTCTGCAATAGTAAGACCGGCACCAAGTAAAAATATAGTACCCCATGAAATACTTTTCGAAAGATTTCTCCAAGTTACAATTGGTTCATATTTCCAATTACCTTAACAAACATGAAACACATTATATAAAATAATTTTATTTGAAATATACTTTGAAAAGGATTTGCATTGGGCAGAATTAATGGAAGTGCGCCAAAAAGTACAGCAACTGTAGCTTCACTTATAAAGCTAGAAAAATATTATGATAATATATTAATTTTCTAGTAAAATATTTGTAATACCCATCTCGAAATATAATATCCCATCCGTGTGTTTCACCAAACTCTTTTGTTACCCATAAAAGAACCAGAATAAAAAGAACAATTGCAACTGAATATTCACTCCAACTAAACATTCAAAACAAAATGATATTTGAATATAAAAGAAATTGACTGAAATCTTTTACTTTGGCTTTCCAAGGTCTTTATATTGTTTAACTAACATTGCTTTTAAATTTCTTTTTAATTCCTGTGTTTGAGCATCGGTTCTACATTGAAAAAATCTAAAATATTCAAATAAAATAAATAAAAAGATTATTGTTTTTTTCGATTACTACGAACTCTTTTCTATTATAAAATATTTGTAACCATATCCAACAAGCAATAAGCATCAATACTGCTACCGGTAATGCAAATAGAAGAAAATTTAAAAAATTTATATGAAAATTTGTATCTTTGTAACGTCTAAATAAATGATTTCAACTCAAAATAAGAAAAAATATTGTTGTTATTATTTACGCTTCAGCAAAACCTTTAACAAGAGTATTTGGTGCTGTACCAACAAGACTTGCTAGACCACCAATAGTTGCTGAATAAGCAGTTGCAAGAAGAAAAGCTATAAAAATAGTGCCAAGATTATCTTTGTTAACGTTTTCAAATAAATAAATTTACCCTTTTTTATTTCTTCATATTTTTTTTCAGCTGGTTTCACAACTTTCAATTGAGTTTTTTTTCCACATGGTAGTGAAAAACGTTGTTTTACTTCAATAGTAACTTGTGTTTTTCTAAAAGATTTTCTAAACCTAAACGATTTTAATTATGATATTCATACATACGGTTCTTCTATATGTAATGCATCGAGAATAACTTCTTTTGTTGTGCGTCCATCAGATATTGCTGTTTCATTTATTTCGAGTACTTCTATATACCGTAAATTTTTATAGTATTTATTTTAGTTCTTAAATTATTTACCATTTACAGCTGCAGTTGCCTCTTTGATAGCTTGTTTTTTATCATGATACGTTTTTCCATGACGTTCAAGTTCATCACTAATAGCTATTGATACGGGTAACATAATCGATGCTGCTGCTGAATTATTAATCCACATGGAAAGAAATGCTGTTACTCCCATTAAACCAGCCATAGCCCTGATTAATTAGAAACAATTTTTAATCTTTTCATATTATTCTCCTAAACAAAACAAAAGAACTACCATTTTGTTGATGTACCAACATGACTTAACACGAATAATGCAATTCGTCGATGTAAATTAACAGATTCTATGGCATAAGCGAGTAATAAACTGCCAAAGAAAAGCACGATTATGTCTTTAAAAAAGGCTGCTGCTACTTGATCATTGTCTAAAATACCCGCCTGCACAGAAAATAGAGAAATTATATAAAAAAAAAATGATTACTAACCAATGGAAAAAGTGCAAGTGGTAAGACAGATGTAACTGGTAATGGTATTACTTCAAAAACCCAAAATATAATAAGAATAAGTACAATATAACCACATCTTGCTTGCTAGAAATAAATTCTAAAAGATGAGTTCTCAAAAAAATATCTAACATACTGGAGAATTATCAATTATAGGTAATGGAAGAAGAAGTAGGGGCCATAAAAAAATAGTTAATAAACGCCATCGTAGTTTAATCCAGTTTAAAAATTGATTTTGCATTGTTAATTCTAATAATAAAATAGGAAGTAAAAGATTTATTACTGTTTTTGTTGATACACACGATTCTCAAACAATTTATCAATGAAGTGATACGAGAATGATGATAAAAGGACATTATGAATGAGTTCTATTTTCTTTCCTTTTTTTTATTGTATTAATCTTTACAACATAAGAAAATTCGAACTTACAATCAATTATAGAATGAAAAAAAGAAACAAAAAAAATGTCAAGGATAATTCAAATTATTGTTATGTAGTTGTAAATATTTTTTTAAATCTAACTAACAAGAGATTAACAAATTTAACTTTTGCCATATCCTATTTATGTAAGTAAATCTGTATCCGAAAATAAAAAAATAAGCTTATAAAGTTTTATAAACTCATAGATAATGAATGAAATCTATTAAATTACAGACAGTCGAAATGTACTTTCCGTGAAAAAATAATTTCAATAAATCTTGTCAAAATGACGTCAAAAACTTTAATTGATGACGAAAAATGACCTTCATTTTTATTACAACGATAATTTTACTTTATTCATTTTATCAAACTCAAAAACCTTGAAAATAGTTAATCGATTTGTACTTTTAAATATAAAAACAAAAGAAAATACAACATAAATGACATTATAAGTCATATATCAAAAAATTCATTATTTTTAATATAATTTTTCTTTATACATAAAGAAAGATTGTTACTCTAATAAAAACAGGTATTATATACAACGTTGTCAATAAATGCACTTGCCATAAAAGTACATTATCTGACTATTTCAAGAATTTATTAATAGATAAGTATTTTTGTGCATAGAATCAATAATGAGAACTTTGATTCAAAAAGAATATTAATATACAATAAACAATGGATTAATAATGATAATGAATAAATATTTTCAATGAACTTTATCAATCAAGAAATGCAATACATACTAAATAGTAAATAATCTGTTTTGTACATCATATATAAATGAAAAAACTAAATATTTATTCAATACTAAAAATGAAGCAACGTACATTTATTATCTGTTTTATTATTTCTCTGTTATGTGTTTTTCTGAATGGTAATCCTCATGATGATATAGAATTACATAGGTTAACTCAACGAAGTTCATCGTCAAGCTTTACACCAGATCAACGTAAAGTTCAAAAGAAAGTTTTACATGCACATAATACTTATCGATCAGAACATTGTACACCATCTTTAAAACTTGATGATGATCTTAATCATTCGGCACAGAAATATGCTGAAGAACTTGCTAAAACAAACACGTTTGACCATAGTGACTTATATCATTTAGGAGAAAACCTTTTCAAAATGAGTAGCAATTTAAAAATCGATGATTTTGATGAACCCGGTAAATATTGATCTGTATTCTTATATATATTATTTAATGTTTTTTCCTAGCTGCTCAAGCTGTTCGTGGATGGTATGATGAAAAATCAAAGTATGATTTTGATGATCCAAAATTTACTGAAGAAGCAGGTCATTTTACTCAACTCTTATGGAAAGATTCGAAAAAACTTGGTGTTGGTTTTGCTATTGGAAAACATAAATCAAAACATACATTATATATTGTAACACATTATTTACCAGCAGGCAATGTTGATGAACTTTTTTCAGAAAATGTTCTTTCTGCTGATGAATGTTAGCTGTTTTTTATTTCTAAATCATACTTCTAGCACATATCTTTATTTGATTTTATTCAATTCAATTACAGTGTTACAAGTTTCTTTACATCTACATTGAAAATTTTCTGTTTAATATCTTATTCTAGCATTTTTAACAATATGTTTATCATAAGAGATTTATTTTAAATAAATATACTGATGATACTAACATTGCATACATTCACATTGTTTATTATTATCTAAATCAAATTATGACTTTGTTTTTAGAAAACATTAGACAATGAAAATATAATAAATTTATTTTTCTAAAATTATTTTTTTATTCAAATGAATTGTATGTGGCGCTTGTTGTCATTTTTTTTTATAATATCGATAGATATACCCAATAGTTGTTTTATTTTTGTACCGATGATGAAGAAAGTTGACAATCAATATCAGCAATAGTTTTTATTGAAAGGACAAACTATCGTTAGTTCACCAGAAGCATAGTCAATGAAAATGTTAATAATCATGATTCAGGTATAAATTCAAATGATAGTGAAGTTGAATAATATTAATATAAAAGTAAAATCTAATTTTTCGTATTATAGAAAATTGTTCACGATATAATAAAACAACATTACTGACTATATTTGATCATAATGAAGAAAAATGCTATATTGTAGCATGACAAGTTTTTATTCCTTTTATGATATCAAGATTTGGTATGGTTGCTGCTGAATTAGTTCTTGAACGTGTTAAGGTATTGATTAATATTATAACTCTATGTTTTTTTTTATAGTATTTCTATTTAGGAGTTAAATCTATTTAAAGAAATAACTGAAATTTATATACTTGTTCCAGCTTTACTTGATTTAAAAGGATATTTAGAAAAGACACTGGCATCACGTTTATCATACAAGTATGCAATTAAAATTCATTTCAAAAATATTCAATATAGGCTTCTATAATTTTAGGCTAGTATTGGCAATATAATTTTAACACAATTACAAGCTATTATTGTTGATTTTCTTGCTACTCTTGCATCACTTACTATGGAGTGGATATCTCAAGGACATTTTACCTTACGATATACACTTGTTTTATTTATTAATATTTCACATTTTCTTGTGCATAGGATTAAATAAACAATTTTTTCTAAAAGAAAATAGAGATAGTATCGTCAATACACTTTAAAGATTGTAAAAAAATTACGATATATATCAACACATAATTCTTGCTGATATTTAGTAATGAAATGATAAATAAATGTGTTCAAAAAAAATATTTTAATATATTATAACTGTTTCTTCGTTATCTTACTGAGTTCTCCCTCTTACACAATTAATTGTTTATTCCGTAAGAGGAGATCATCATTTATGTTATTGTCGTTTCACATAAATACAAAATCAATTGCTGCTTCACTCGATGATTTAATAACACTTGGTATTTTAGCTAGTATCGGCGGATTTTTATTCAGAATTATTGGTAAGAATCTGTGTAAATTTAAAATTTATATAATAAATCATACATTACTTAGATAATTATACATGGTTACCTATAATGATTATAATTATATTTTTAATTTTAACATCAATTTAGATTATCATCTCTCCTCGAAATGAATATGTTAAACGATTTGTAAAAAACAATAATCTACTATAAAAAAAATAACACAATATTTAAAGATCAGCCGTTGTTGCTGCAATGAATATTTCAAGGTAAATAATAATAATATATAAAATTCGATTTAATCTTCTTTGTATTTGTTTTTTTAAATAGAGTAGGTGGTCTTATACTTGATTTTATTGCTTTTCAACCTGTTATGAATGGTAAATATTTATTTTTTATGAAATAAGAATTGTTAATAAATGTTATTATCTTTAGGTGTAGGCGATAATTTAATAGCTGTTCAAGCAAGTCGATTATTTACTACATTTCATTAACAAGACAAACCAGGAGAATTTCAAGATATTACACAATATCATGCTTCAAAATTATTTCCTAATCCATATAAAATATTTTGTTCAACTAGTATATTAATATTGTTGATTGAATTGTTGATTATTTTATAATTATTTTTTAGAAATTCATTCATCAACAACACACGTTTTGTTATATTACGATTAACAACAGATCAAACTCGACTTTCAATTGTTTTTATCTCTCTTTATCTGATAGCAGCACTTATTCAAGTAGAATTATTTTATTATTTTTACAAAAATAAATCAAGTTTATTTCATTTTTTAATAGGTTACTATTCTTCTATATATTGCTCAGTGGATGATAATATTTGTACGGAGACGTGAACGAGATCCCGATAATGTATGCATTCCATATTTAACAATAATGGAAGATCTACTTGATGACACTCTTTTAATTTGCGTCTTTCTTTTATTATTCTAATATTTATTTTTTATTTATTCTTATCTCGATGTATATGTTAAAAGAAAAAAAGGTCTGGTTATTGTTATTTGATATTATTCGTTTTTGTTTAATGAAGTGTGACGAATTATTCTTTTTTTTATAATATCATTGCCGTAGTATCTAGTTTGAATTATGAAGCAACGAATATAATATTTATGTTAAATAGTTGAGAGAAAACTAACTGAAGATTTTTTTTTCATTTTATTTAGATCGAATGGTCTTGAATCATAGTTTTAACCAATACTGAAATAAAATTTTGCAAAATATAAATAATTTGTTCTTCTCTGTCGATCATAAATTACTCAGATTTTAATCTGTTTGCGTACTAATCTATATTAATAGTAAAATCTTGTTCTTAGAATTTATATGATTTTTATAATATTTATTTATATATTCTATCAGCATTGTATCTATATTTTCTTTTGAAAAGCATAGAACGATATCTGAAGAAAAGCTTTTCTGATTATTTAGATTCGATATACTGATGAAATTTTTTTTCTTAGATTGATTATTGTTATTCTTATCTGTCATTTGACTGAAGAAATTCATCATATGTTATCATTATATCTTATTCAACTAGTAGATTTCTTAGTATAGAAAATATATCATTGATCATCACTAGTATCATATAGCAATTTAAGAAAGAGAATTGACAACGGAATTACGAATATAAAGATTAAATACATCTATGTAAATGATTTCTTGATCGTAAAGAACAGAAAATATAGTGAATATTCTTTCTTTTTATTTTTTACTAGCTTTAACTTCAATAATAGATATTGGTATGTGTAATATTTTTTTTTATTAAAAAGAAAATAAGAAAAAAAAGCAAATCTATTTTAGTATCATCTATTTCTTTTTATAAATGCTCGTCATTTAATGGTAGTAATCCATCATGCGAATATTTCCTTTAGGGTAAACTGGAAGGTAAAACTTCATATCTTCAAACTCCATGTTTTGCTAATTTACGTGGATGCCATGATCTTTTTCTTGCAACACGTTGTATTAAACTAGTTGTTTATTCGCCAGGTATAATAAATTCTTATTTATTTACTTCATTCATATATTTATTTTTATTTTTAGTAGAATCAAATTCGATTCAATACAAATATCGAACATGTAGTAGGGATGAAAGTAATGATAATAGAATCACTCGTACAAGTCATCGTAGTTTTATTAAACCTGATTGGATTAATCTATATCGACGATTACGTGGATGTTTACATATATGTGATAAAGATGCATGTAATCAAGTTTTTAATTTTTAATTTTCCAGATAGAATATGATATTCAGTCTTATTTTATTACGATTACTTTTTTTATCTAAAAAACTATTCTACATGTTAATAAATATTTTACATTGAGTGATTCAACAGAGAAAAACTTAAATATATTCGTTATATTTAATATTAATAAATAAATGTTATTACAAGTGACGTTCACTTTTTATGAATGATTAGAAATCGATATGTTGATTCCTTTAGTCAAGAATAAATTATATCAAATTTCTTTTTATTTCTTTTTTTCCATAGTGCAAATGTTTAGGCTTCTGTTTGTATTAGTGCATAGTTTATTACACATTGTATTTTGAAATTATCAATATTTATCTGATTAATAATAAAAATATGATATAATTTGTTAAGTTACTTTTTGAAAATCTATATAGAATGTCTTTCAATACAGGAAAAATTCGTACAATCAAATAAATATCATATACATATTTTTATCATATATATTGTACTTTTATACAATAACAAAAAAATAGGCAAACATGTGCGCTGCGTTTGTCCGTGTGTTGTATAGTCACGCATCATTGCCTTTTTTCTTCCTATCTTAACAATTCTGCGTCGTCATTGTATACGAGCTAAAAAAATAAAGTGCGCATGCTTGTATTCACCTATACATATAAAAAATGCTTCTCTCTCTAACAATGTACACGAGTTAAAAAAATAATATGTCTATGCTTATACCCACCTGTACATATAGAAAAAATCATTCTTTCTCCGTCAATGTATGCGAGCTAAAAAATAATATGTCTATGCTTATACCCACCTATACGTATTCAAAGAAAATGCTTCTCTTTCCGTCAATGTAAGCAAGCTAAAAAATAAAATGCGTATGCTTGTATTCACCTATACGTATAAAAAAATGCTTCTCTCTCCGTCAAAGTATACGAGCCAAGAACTAATCACCCCTATCTGTCTCTCTCCGACCACGAAAAAATAAGTTTTGTCATGGATTGTTTTTTGCTTGCCAACTATCGTATATAAAGCCGAAGCAAATCCCTATCATTCACACACATTTATTCGTCCAATATTCTCCTTCAACCTCGAACAAAACCAAATCACAATCAACAGCATGGATAAAATGGCTTTCTGTGTCATGGTTTTCATCGCAACATTGTATGTATCACAATGTAGCGCAAATCGACGTGCTTCTGCAATGGATCGTCTCAATTATTTGATGAAGAAAGGTGCGATTTATTCATTTTCAATGAGATATCACCCATCAGCACAGCATTTAAACAGCATAGAATCAACACCGCAATATTCGAATGTTGCCCTTCGTCTGAAGCTTGTTAGGAGTGTTCATTCGCAATGTACTCCATATCCAAATTAGTACCTCACGAGAATGACTTCACAGGGAGGGAAATATTTGAAAATTATTCTGCTTAGAAGCATTCATTTTTGATGTGATCGTGGCTCATAACAGTACCTCTCCAAATAGGCTTCATAGTGAGGCAAATATTAGACAATTACCTTTCTCAGAAGTATTCTTTTCGAATGTGATCAACCTCCACCTTACTATCTCTTGAGCTTGACTTCACAGTAAGAAAAGTATTTGACACTTACCATGATGAGAACTATTCACTTTTTTATGTCATCTCGTTGCATATCAGTATCTCTAAAAGTTGACTTTAAACTGTGAAGAATATTCGGTGCAATGCTTTGTCTTAATACCGCATTTAAGAATTACAAGGATGCTGTTCAGCACTGTTTCATGACGACCTCATCGTCGTCCATAACACTACTTTGCGATATTGGTTTTGAAATGTTGAAAGTATTTGGAAAATCTCGTGATTAGAACCATTCATTTCAGATGTGAGCAACATATATATCCCTGTCTGTTCAAACTATCTTCACATTACCGAAAATATTTGATAACTATTATACTTAAAACTATTCAAAATGAAATGTTATTCCCAACTATATCAGTTCTTCTAAAACCTGTCTTTAAAGTGTCGCGAATATTTGAAACAACGTTTTGTTTCAATTATTCATTTGTTGTATATGCAATGATTCTATATAGAATTTCAAATTATTTTCTCCGAGAGGACAAAATATTTGAACTGAAACGTAATATGACTTATTCGTTTCTCACATATTCGTCTATCGTATAATTAACTTCAAGTCTTCCTATCAATTTGATGTATATATTTAAAAACAATCTTGCTATGAACTATTGTATTACAATGTCATCGGCATCCATATCCGTACCTCATGTATTTACCGTTACACTGAGAATAGTATTTGACACTTATCGTCCTTCAAACTGTTCATTTGCAATATGATTTGCGTTCATATTACTATTTCATAAGATTTGTTGTATGGCTAAGAAAGTATTTGAGAGATATCATCCTCAGAAATATTCAGTTGTAATATGAGCAGCATGTATTTAAGTACTGGTCGAAATGGGCTTTATGTAGAGTGAGGTATTTGATAATTACCTTGTTGAAAACTATTCGTTTGTGATATAGCTGGCGTGCGAATGAGCAACTCTTCACTTAAACTTTAAAGTGAGCACAGTATTTGATAAATACCATCCTTAAAAATATTCCATTGTCATATGAGCCGGGCGGAAATGAAAAGTTGTGAAGTGCCTGGAAAGATAACAAAGTATTGGAAAAATATAATAGTTAGAGCTATTTATTTGTGATGTGATCTTATTGTATATCAGTACCTCGAGAGGTTGGCCTTGATGTGCTGAAAATATTCGAAAGGAAATTTTGTTAGAATTGTCCTTATGCTATATTTTCGTGAATCATGCATTGAATTGGATATTGTGTTGTGAAAGGCGATAGAAATATTTGAATAGTATCATATTATGAATTATTCATTTGTTGTAAATTCAGTAATCTTGTAATGTACTGCAAATATTTGCTTCGAACGTAGTAGAGCTTTCCAATAGAATCTTCCTGAAAGTGATTCATTTGTGATATGTTCATGAATCAGATATTCAGCTGTAAATCTATGCTTTGAATTGAGTGAAATATTTTTATAGGGTCTTGCTATGAAGTATTCATTTATCCTATGCCCTCGGTCATGGAATCAACTACAAATATTTACTTTAAAATGAATAAAATGTATGAATAGAATGTTAATACGAAGTATGGGTTTATCGTGTGTTCCTGAAGCATGTAATGCGTTGCAAGATTTTGCTTGAAACAGTAAAATATTTGAATAGAACCATGATCCTGTAAGTTTCCATGTGACGTGGGCTCGTCGATTATAATTATCAATTCCAAATATTTACTTAGAACTGAGCGAAATATTTGAATAGAGCTATCGAGTTGAAAAATTTTCATGTAGCATGCTTTCGTCGATTATAATTAACAATTCCAAATATTTACTTCGAACTGAGCAGAATATTTGAATATGGGATTTGTTTGAATTATGTATTTGCTGTATATTTATCTTTGATGTGGCTATGTGCGTCTTTTCTTTAGAAGAGAGCAGAATATTCGAAAGAAAGTCTACTTACAAAGATTCATTCGGTATATGATCTTTAGTCATGTTATCAGATCTAATCTTTTTTTCTTAGCGAACAAAATACTTGATAAACGTCCTAGTTACCATTATTCAGTGGGTGTTTGATCTTCAGTATGTTATCAGCTTGAATCCTTTTTTCTCAGCAAGTAAAATATTAGAGCGAGATCCTGATTACAATTATTCATTGAACGTGTTATTTTCAGTGACATTGTGTCAAGTCTAATTCTTATTTCTTAGAGTAAAAAATTTTCTAATGAAGGCATTCTTCATATTATTCATGTGATGTATGATGTTTGATAATACCATGAGCCGAAGCTCTTTGCTAAGTGACCATAATAATGGAATAGAATTTTCTTATGAATTACTTTGTTATATGAACTTTGATTATGATATTAACTCGAATCCTTTCTCCAAAGTCACTAAGGAATTTGAACAGAACCATCATTCGAATTATCATTGACTGCATATTTATCGTTTATACCACCAACTGTCGGTCTTCGTTTCTATGTGAGAAAAATATGTGAATACAACTAGTGTTTGTATAATTCATTTGTCAACTAATCTATGATTATATAGCCGATTTCAAATTTCCCCTTTCGAAGTAAGCAATAAATTTGAATACGTTCTTTGTTTAAATTATTCATTTATCTTCTATTCTTGAACCGTGATATCAATTGTAAATGTTTGCTTAGAATTGAGTAAAAATATTTCAATAGAATCTTGGTATCAATTATTCGTTCACCGTGTATTTCTTAAGCATTGAATCAACTGCAAATATTTGCTTTGAATCGAGAAAACTATTTCAATAGAATCTTAGTATCAATTATTCGTTCGTCGTGTATTTCTTAAGCATTGAATCAACTGCAGATGTTTGCTTTGAATCGAGAAAACTATTTCAATAGAATCTTAGTATCAATTATTCGTTCGTCGTATATTTCTAAAGCATGAAATCAATTGTAAATTTTTGCTTTGAATTGAGCAAAATATTTTAAGAGACTCTTCCTGAGGATTATTCATTCGTCCTGGGCTGCTTAATGATAGAATCAATTAATAATAATTGCTTAAAACTGAGGAAAATATCTAAATAGAATCTTGGTATCAATTATTCATTCGTCCTGGGCTGCTTAGTGATAGAATCAATTAATAATAATTGCTTTAAACTGAGGAAAATATCTAAATAGAATCTTAGTATCAATTATTCATTCATCGTGTATTGCTCAACTATGGAATCAAGATGCAAATGGTTACTTCGAATTGACCAAAATAGTAGGATATAAGACTTGTTTGAACTAGTCATTTGTAATAAGTCCCTCAACTATGAAATCAAGCGCAAACAACTGCATTCAGTCGAGCAAAATATTTCAATAGAATTTTAGTATCAATTTTCCATTTGTCTTGTGTTTCTGAACCATGGAATCAGCTGCTAACGTTTGCTTTAACTTGCGTAAAATATTTTGATAGACTCCTTATGAGAATTATTCATTCATCGTGTGCGACTA